TGGACTGCGCATGAGGGGAGCCCCCGCTGGTTGATTCTGCCAGTCGGAGGCTCCCTCTAAAGTAGGCGTGTATTTGAGCCGGCCAATCAGTCGTTGCCGCTGGCCCTGGCCAGCCCTGAGCAGAACATCAGAGGATACGGGCCGCAAAACCACCCGGAAAAAGTACCAAGCCACCCAGGTATGAAAGTAATATACGCAATGCGGGCGGGGCTGAGCGATTCCAGATGTGAAAGTCCTAATCGAACAGCATCTGGCCCTCGCAATGTCTGCTGGAAGAAAACTGCGGCCCTTGAACCAATTTAGTGGAGGACCCCTGGCATAGGTCAATGGTATCCCTGCTGAGGCTCTAATCATGCGTGGCTACACCAAAAAGCAAAGCTATGTTATTTAGCTCTGGCTATGCTCGGTCTAGACCTTTAGGCTGACCTTACCTGCGAGTCTGAGTGGGACTCAGATCAAAAGGAAGCATCTGACACAGTTAACCACAACATTGATAAGGAAACTGGAAAAATGTTTGCGGTTTGGAAATCAAAAGAGACACAATGAAGTAGATATAGTTATTAATAAAGTACACATTAAAAGAGTATATGAAATAACATTTATTGGAGTGATTATAGACAATAAAATCTGCTGAAAGCCACACATCAAATATGTCAGAGGGAGGCTTGCTATAATGGGAAAAACTAAGCAGATTTTCGACCAGAAAGCACTTTATACATACATATATATATATATATATATATATATATATATATATATATATATATATATATATATATATATACATGACATGATGCTACTGCCCTATCTGAGGTACTGTGTAGAGGTCTGGGTCTAAGGGATATACCGTATTTTCCAGACTATAGACCCTTTTACTACCTACGTCATCAAAAGTTGCGCGCGCAGCCTGGCAACGAGAGTGAAGGCTTCCTCATTCACACTCGATACCAAAACAGCGTTTTAAACCCTTTGTTTTGAAGTTCTGAGCACATAAAAATGTCGGGTTGTTGCGTGTATGGATGCCAGCATCGCTTCTCTTCAATCAGTGGAGTGAAACTTTACAGAATTCCGAAGGGAGCACATCCATTTCAACAAAATCGGAGGCGTCTGTGGCTGCAGGCCATCAAAAGGGTTGATGAAAACGACTGAAAACACGATCCGAAATGCTCGAGTTTGTAGCGCCCATTTTATATCAGGTACTAAGATTACACCAGAAAGCTGGTTAACGTGTGTTCCATTAAATAAAGTAAGTTGCGTTTGCTGGTTTGCTTTTAAGCAGTCTATTTACAGGCGAGGTTTTCTGTTTTTCCCATCCTAACACAAAGCTCAACTTTGAATAAAATTGCTGCTGCGTGGCTGCAGCATGACCCAAGTCTGGAACATCAAAATTACAGAATTAAACAAATTTATACGCTTTATTTCATGCTTCAAATTAACATTTCATTCTAATTCATCTGTATTTTCCCACTGCATATTAGTATAAACTGTATTTCTCTAAAATTAACATGATTGTACTCTGAGCACGCTAAAAAAAGAAACATGCTATACTCACCCTGCCATGCAGGTACAGTTGGCTGTGAAGACGTAGTTCTCTGGTTTGTTTACTATGACCCAAGCCTCGTACGTAGCAGTCTTGTGTCCTTGTCTTTGGCTAGGAAGGACTTCTGCCTTCAAGACGCAAAACTCAGAGTCTATGTGGTGATATTTTACTTTCTGTACGTGGCCACAGACAACATAGTTGTATGCATCTAACCATTTGTATGCCCGTAGCTTCTCACGTGTGTCCTTACTGGGCCTCTCCACTAAAAACGTATATATATCGGGCCACTGGATATCTGGCCACGCACCTACATCTTCCACCCATTCCGTAATGCCACAGGGATCCGGGAGTCTGTTGCCATTCGTTAAAGTGAGTTTAATAATACAACATTCAAGATTTGCCGGTGATAACCCCGCAGCGTAGCTTGATAAAGCCTGACACAACGCCATTCTCTGTTGCCAAGCTGCGCACGCATTCTCCTCGCTGACGTCATATTGTTTACAAACAGTAAAAGGGTCTATAAGCCACTACTTTTTTCCCACGCTTTGAACCATGCGGCTTATAGTGAGGTGCGGCTTTACTGAAGGTTTCCCTTCACCTGCAGGGGGCGCTTTAGCAGAAAGTGAAACAGGTGGAAGTCAAAAGTGGAAATGGGAGAAAGTGCTCATTTTAATTTAGCACATGCAAGTAGCCGGCACCACGAAGAACTTTTTTCAACTCCATACCCCCTCATCATGGTAACTACACGTATGAGTTCATATGATGCCGCATTTAAGTTGAAGGCATCGATCTGGCAGTAAAGGAGGGAAACAGTGCTGCCGCACGTAAGCTTGGCATGAATGAATCCACGGTTCGGCGCTGGAGACGGCAGCAGGAAGAACTCATTCAAGCCAGCTTCACCCGGGGATGATGACAGCGACACGGACAGCGACACTGACATCGCCACAGAAAAGGTTTGTGACGACGCTCTTCTGAGGCTGTTCAACTCCGACACTGAAGAAGAGGACTTTAATGGCTTTAGAGCGCAGGAGGAAGATGAGAGCGAATGACTTTTTCTGGTAGGCAAGTGTGTTTTATTTACTAACCAGGCATGTTTTGTGTGCAGTTTTTATTTTCTAATCATCCAGGGCTTATTAATGCTGAGTCAGCGCTGTTCTTTTCTTCTAAACATGCAAATTACCGGTAATAACGTGTCAGTTCTATTTTTATTTTATAACCATCCAGAAATATGAATGCTATCAGTTTTCTTTTCTAAACTTGCAGGCACGTTCACCCGTGTTTATAATTCATTTTGTTGAATTAAAACAACAACGAAAAAACCTCCGTGTAGCGTCTTTCTGTCTAATTATCTTATATTATGGCCATACATGCGCTGTGCGCCGGAGACCCGCATGCGGCTGCTGCCCCGCGGCTTGTATTTGAGTGCGGCGGCGTGTGTGCAGAAACCCCCCTTTTTTTTGTTGGTGCGGCTTATATCGAGGTGCGCTCTATAGTCCGGAAATTACGGTAGTTAATTTTAAAACAGCACAAATTACATAAAAGGTAAAAATAAATGAATACTTAATAAAATACAGAAAGTGTTTACAGAAAGAGATGGGGAATATAACGTGAGAAGAGTACTAAACCGAACAATGCATAGTGTAAGAAAATGTGTGCATCACAACAGCAGGAGTTGAAAGTATGGAATAGCTTTGAAGACGAAATGAAAGTACAAAAATTAACCAGTTTAAAATTAACTATAAAAAACATTATCTAAACAATTATAAAGAGGAAAATAGCTTGGCCTTTATTAAGGATCATCATGCTCGTGTTGACAAAAATGTGGGTTTTTTTTTTGGTGCGCTCTTTGGGTGATTTGTACTATTTGATGTTTTAATGAGTTTTGTGTTAAGTTTGGCATAATAGTAATAATAAGTGTAATAATAATTATTATAATAAGTATAATAATATTACTACTACTACTACTACTACTACTACTACTAATAATAATAATAATAACAATAACAACGATAATAATAATAATAATGAGTTTAAGTAAAGGATAATATGTACAAGAGGGGTAGGGACATATGTTTATACTACAGCCTACTTCTTTTCAGACATAACAATTAGGATGAAATACGGACGACAATTGTAAATTATATTTGATTTGTTTGTTTGTTTGAAATAAACTACTACTACCACTACTACTACTACTACCATTAATACCACTACTACCATGACTACTACCACCACTACCACCACTACTACCATTACTACCACTACTACCATCACTTCTACCACCACTACCACCACTACTACCATTACTACCACTACTACCATCACTTCTACCACACTACTACTACTACTACAACTATTACTACTACCACTACTGCTACTACCACCACTACTGCTACTACTACTACTGCTACCACTATTACAACTACCACTACTACCACCACTACTACTACTACTACTACTACTACCACTACTGCTACCAATGCTACAACTACTACTAATAATGCTACTACTACTACTACCACTACTGCTACTAATACTACCACTACTACTACTACTGCTACTAATACTACCACTACTACTACTACTGCTACTAACACTACCACTACTACTGCTACTAACACTACCACTACTACTACTACTGCTACTAACACTACCACTACCACTACTACTACTACTGCTACCACTATTACAACTACCACTACTACCACCACTACTACTACTACTACTACTACTACTACTACTGCTACCACTATTACAACTACCACTACTACCACCACTACTACTACTACTACTACTACTACCACTACTGCTACCAATGCTACAACTACTACTAATAATGCTACTACTACTACTACCACTACTGCTACTAATACTATTACTACTACTACTACTACTACTAACACTACCACTACTACTACCACTACCACCACTACTACTGCTACTGCTACTACTACCACTACTGCTACTACCACTACTACTGCCACTAATACCACTACTACTACCACTACTACTACTACTACTACCACTACTGCTACTACTACCACTACTGCTACTACTACCACTACTGCTTCTACTTCTACTACTACTGCAATTACTACTACTACAACCACCACTACTAATACTACTGCAACTACCACTACTACTGCAACTACTACTACCACTACCACTACTACTACCACTACCACTACTACTACTACTACTGCAACTACCACTACTACTTCAACTACTACTACTACCACCAATACTACTACCACTACCACTACTACTACTAAAAGGATAAGATTGCGCCCCATTACCGCCACGGTCTGACTACTTCTAAACTACCTGAGGCTCCCAGATGCCTCCACAAACCCTCTGTAACATCACTTGTAGGTTTCTAAAGAGCCTAACTGAAGCCCAGTGGGCGGTTCCCACCACCGCCATCTTGGCTGCGTCATGCATCTCATCACTCCCAGAAAACACAACAATGGAGCTGAGAGGGAGGCTCTGGAGGCATTTCCCCCACCATCTACATCACGTTTGAGTCTTTTTAAAATTTGTGTTCTTGTTTCTAAGAGTTGCTTCTTAATTTCAGCACAAAACCACAAGAGCACGTTTCTGCTGAAAACATCTTTTTCCAGACGTGAGTAACACAACGGTTATGACACGCCAACGGCTGGTTCCTCTGAAGCGATCTCCTGGTCCAGCAGCCTTAACTCCTTGTGTGTTTATGGCATGAGCGTGTGTGTACTTGTGTTTAAATGTTTAAGTGGACACATTTTAACAGTAACGTGTGGACATCTTTACATTGTGGAGGCATTTTACTGCTCCACACAACGCTAAGCACCCTAAAATTTTAGTTTAAGTTTAGAAACAGTGGAGTTCCTAAAATGAATGGAAGTCTTTAAAGGTGCACACAAACATAAATACAAGTGTGTGTGTGTGTGTGTGTGTGTGTGTGTGCGCGCGCACTTTAGGAACAGATCCAGCTGAAGACCAGAGTTGTCCTCTCAGCATAAGTGGCCGTTTGGACCCTCCACCCTAACGGGGGAGGTGGGGGAGTCCCCAGAGTCTGGGCTGAACCTGGTTCTTCAACAGACGTCTGACTCAGTGTTTCTGCTGCTGGATTCAGACGCAGCTCTTCTTGTTGTCCCAGAACCCAAAGATTAACAGCTGAGAGACCTGAAACGGACCTCGGTTCTGACTCCAGCTTCACTCGCTGCTGCAGTCGTTTCTGTTGGAAATGGATTTCCAGCTGGATGTGAAGTAAAAGACTGGATGCCATCATTAGTCACAGCTGATGAAAACATTAATGTGCGTCTGAACATGAGCTTAAAGTAACACTTAATAGTTTTAAACACTTTAAGCTATTTGTTCAAAAGTGGGGTTTAGTGATTCTGTAGGTAGAAACCTTACCAACAACTTCCTGTGCTGACCAGAACTACTGAACAGTCTGGTGGGACGGGTAGGAGCACTATAGTGGGAGGAGAGCTGATATAAATGCTAGCAGGTAGATTTTTCAGTTCACCCACCATTAAATAAAAAGCACAAGAAGAAGAAAAAGAAAAAAGTAGCATTTTTGTCATCATCAGGGTGGAGCCTGGAAGTAAAAGTAAGAAGGTCTTTATTGTCTTTAGTAAATCGCTAAAACCAGAGTGAACATCGGCGCGGCCTACACTAGCTTAAGAGAACTCAAGGAGGCTATGACTGACTAAGCCACCCGGACTGATGGTGGCTTGGCTTTGTTGCTACTGGATTGTTTGTCCAACAGTGTGGATCTTTTTACTTCGTGGTTATTAGTTGGCTCGTGATATTGTTAGCTTGCTGTAAGTGCTAGCTACAGAAGGGTTGTTTACGACAGTTGTAATTCCACATTTCAACCAGTAGGATGCACAAGCAGGAAACTGGTCTTCTGATCTTTTTGTTGGCAGCTAGTTGGAGTCAAACATAGAAAAAAATCGTATCGATAAAAAATAAATATTAATCTGTCAATAATTACTGACAATCATTTTTAAAAAATATAGAAACTGTATTCTATGAGCAGCTTGTTGTCCTATTCCTTAATGAACTACCTCTAATAAAGAACACACACACACACACACACACACACACACACACACACAATATGGACCTATTTGTGTGTCTTTAATAACGTGAACTACTTCTGTTACGACACAAAAGCTAAATGAATTGAAAATCTTTAAACATGTTTTTGCCGCTCACTGCTCCCCATGGGGATGGGTCAATCATGGAGATGTAGTTTCACCACTGTGATGATTGATTTTAACTTTAACTAAAGCCTAATTTATATGTCTCCGTCAGCTCCAACAGGGAGAGACGCACGGACGGAGACGTTTTGCCTTCATACTTCTTCGTCTCCTGGGGAGCGTTGAAAAGCAACTCCCCGCCAGGACACCAGAGGGCGTAGTGCTGTTTTGTGGTATCCTGTCATGTATCTGCTCCAGGATAGTGTGTTTATATTGTGTTTTTATGTATTTAAGAGGCTTTTTAACATGGACACATTTGTCCCTCATCCTCCTCCACCTCTTCATGCGCTCGCCACCTCTAAACCCACGTTTCCTGTCATTTCCATCCAGGAATAAATGCTTGCTGCTTATCGTTTCACTTCTCCAGTCACAGGGAAATAAAACGTTCACATTTTTTGTTTTCCTGCGAGGTATTCTTCTAGCTTCTCTGTGTTTGCCGCTAGATATCCTCTGCTCCATTTATGATTTTGAGGGCACAATGGCGGCGCTGTGGACGACAGCGGCGTCCTGACCAATCACAAGCTTGCGTTCTCCGACTCCACAGACGGATGTTTAGAAAAGAGAGCTCGACTCCATCCGTCCTTGCGAGGGCTCTCCAGCAGGCCCGCAAGGACGGATAATGCCGTTGCGGGCGTCCATGCGGGCTGCTCTGTTGGACTTACAAAAATGGAGCTGACATACCTGGCGCTGCAGTCTGCTTCTAGCAAATTTCCTGTTTTTTTTAGATCAGGAACACAGCTGAATTATTTAATTTAGTGATGAATCACTCCTGTAGAAACTAATGAAGGGCGGGAGATTCAGCTGTTAGATTAAGGTGTTAAAATGACGAACACAGCAAGGAGATATGTTTTACTTTCGTTTGTAAAAGCAAGCCAAAACTGCCTCTTTAAGATCAGCTGTAGCGGCGCTACCGACCTGCTGGTGGTCGGAGGGACCGGTGGCGGCAGCCTCGCCTCTGTCAGTGCGCCCCAGGGCAGCTGTGGCTACATCATAGCTCAACACCACCAGTGTGTGAATGTGTGTGTGAATGATTGTGTTGTAAAGCGCCTTGGGGGGTTCCAGGACTCTAGGTGGCGCTATATCACATACAGACCATTTACCATTTACGAAAGGGTAAAAAACCAAAAATGGGAAACTGACCATATGTGCAGCAGTCAGCTGAAGGATTGGGCTCAGCTTCTGTTACAAGTTTAGAAAGGGACTGTTTGCTTTTTGTTGGACAAACATGTTGCCATGCTGGTGAACTCTAAGCTACGTGTGGTCTGTCCAGGTTTGAGAGGAGAGGGCTTGGTCGAGCGTCCTTCGGTCTGTTTTCGATTGGTTGGATGGAAGTAATGAGTCTAGTTTTAAGCTACCCAATAAGACTACAATGAAAAAAGAAAGAAAACTTTTGATCAAAGTTTATCCCGATCACACCACACGTCTATCAATAGATAAACATCATTACTGAATTATTGTCCAGCTCTACATCCTAGTCAAAAAGTATTAACAGTGTTCCTTATCTGGCCTCCAACTCATACCAAAAGCCTCTCGTGTTTCTCCACTTTGACCCAGAAAGTAAAGGTTAAATGATAAAAATGGCCTGTATTTGTAAAGTGCCTTCTTTAGGTTCCACAACCCCCCAAGGCACCTCACAACACAGTCAGTCATTCACCCATTTACCCTACAGCATCCAGAAGGATAATGAATTGCGCATGTGGGAAGCCCCCGTGGGCTGATTCTGCTCGCCAATCAGAGGCTCCACTTAATGGTACGAGTGATTTTGAGCTGGCCAATCAGCCATCAGTGGGTGTGTCAGCCCTGTTCAGCTCCAGGTAGGCTGCCTCGGAAAGAGGGCGGAGAAATCCAATTTCCAACCCGGTCCAGGTGGAGTGGAAATGATGCTAGTGTGATTCCATAACACAGGCGCCACCAGTCCCTCCAACCACCACCAGCAAGCAAGGTGGGCTAAGTGTCTTGCCCAAAGAAACAACAGCAGCATTCTCTGGTCAGAGCCGGGATTAAACCTGCAACCTTCCGATTACTGGACAACCCGCTCTACCACCTGAGCGACCATTAGGTAGACAGGTTCCAGGTGGGTCTGAATGAGTTCCAGATAGCTGCGATGTATCTGAGACCACTTGGACATTGGTTGTTTTGAACAAGTCAAATTTTCTGCGACATGAGAAAAGCACGCTGAAACTGGCAAGAGGAAACCGAAACCGTTTGAGAATGTTTCGAGACATTTGAAATCTCCCCGAACATTCCAGCCCACTGAGATATCAAATCTATGAAGCCGAAGCACAGCAGAGGGGGAGGGGATGGGGCCACAGATGTAATAAAACAGATTTTCCTTTTCTTTTAACCCTCCCACTGTCTTCACGGGTATGACCCCTCCAGGAAAGTTGAGCATTGAGCAGGATTGATGGTTTATCCCTTGAGGTCCACGTGACAGGGGTGAGGAGTGAGCACCACCTCACCCCTGTCACGTGGACCTCAAGGGATATACCATCAATCCTGCTCAATGCTCAACTTTCCTGGCAGGGTCACCCATGAAGACAGTGGGAGGGTTAACTTGTCTAATCGTTTTTTGGGCGTTTTCACTGTTCCTGTACCTACTTGGTGATATGAATCTAACACCATGGACCAAGCACCAGGCCGTGGTTCTGGTGTTGGTTTGGCGCCGATTCAAATGGATCTGTGAACAAAACGCTCATGAAACTTAATGACCTGAATGTCGACCCGGGAAAGGTGGCCATGAGTTCCTTCCATCCTGATTCTTACCGAGTTATTATTGGCTCTGCTTGTGAACATGAGGTCTGTTCTGGACCTCAGCAGCACTTCAGGATCATGGACAAAACGGAGCCAGAAGGCTGTTTTTGACAAGAAGAACATTTTTAGAACCCGATTCCATTCTTCAGCTGTTCTCGATCTTCTAGACAAACTGTAATGGGCTCAGTGAGCCAGCCATGAAAATGTTATTCATTCACCCTGGTATGCAAATGCATGTGTGCGTGCGTGTGCATGTGTGTGCGTGCGTGTGCATGTGGAGGATAACATCATTGTTTTGTATAGCGAATGTTTTCTTTGGCCATTATTTGCATAAACACAAATACTAACACAGGACCAACTTCCTTCTCTGCAGGGAGACGATGGACGTCTGAACAAACTGCAGTAACCAGAAGAACCCGAGGCGTCGCTGTCAGCATCATTGCTACGACTTTACCATCAGGGAGTGTGAAGGTAAAGTCATTAGGCGTGCTAGTGTGTGTCTGTGTTTTTCCTTACAACAGGATGCAGGAAACAAACGCTGAAATGGTTCCAAATGATATCAAACATTTAAAATAATCACCTAAACCCACAACTACACAAATGATTAAAAACACAAAACCACCCGACAGACACAGAATACCCACAGCATGATAGACAGTTACTGTGTCATGCAAAACATCCACAGTGTGAATTGAAGGCGGAGTCGTTACGGAAAACAGGAAGGAACTGATGTCTAAAATAATCCCATCATCAGTGAGCCAGCAAGTAGACAGTACCAAATGGCTGTTTAACACACACACACACACACACACACACGCACACACACGCACCCACAAGGAAGTCAGCGTGGATTTCCTGTTTTCCGCCTGCTACAGGACTCAGACAGCTCAGAGACCGAACCATGCAGACCGTGAAGTGTGTGGTTGTGGGTGACGGTGCCGTGGGGAAGACCTGCCTCCTGATCTCCTACACCACTGGAGCCTTTCCCAAAGAGTACATCCCCACCGTGTTTGACAACTACAGCAGCCAGGTGAGTCCTTAAACACACCACCGCTTCAGGTGTTCTCCAGAACACGGAGACACCAGAAAGTTAAGCTGGTGAGAGGATAGTAGGATACCCGATGATACATAATAACTCAGCAATCTGCAGTAATCAAATGTTCGAAAAACAATTCTGTTTAGCTGGGAGAGAAGTCTCAGTAAGGAGGCAAAGGGCCAAAGCATCCCAGAACCTTGTCGCTTGTAGAGAACCGAGCTGTGGGTTCCATAGCTTCTACGTTTTCTACATGTTCGTTGTAAATGCCCGACACTTAGAGGATATATAAGTGACTTTTCCTGACATGCCTGCCCTGTTTTGTGAAGGTAGCAGGCCAGCAGGTTGCTCGTTGTTCCGCTTCTGTGACCTCTTAGGAGACATTAATGCCTCGTTCAAGGACGTCAGTTTGTTTCTAATATTAATGAAGACTTTAAACATGAACGTCAGTGTGGCTCGAAGATTGCTGTGGACAATTAATCATCTTTTATACGTCATATTTGTCTGTGTGACTTAAAAGTGAACTATATAAGAATTGAGTAACAGTGACATCCTGTGGTCAGATTTGGTGACTGCAGTTTCAGTTTCGCTGGGTTGCCTTGTAGCGATAGGAAACTAAAGTTTGTGTTTTAACAACCATGAAATACAATATGTATTCAAAATAATGAACTACTTAAGAAAACAATATATTACACCATAGCAAGCTTATTTCTATAGCATATTTAAAAACAGCATGACAGCTGACCAAAGTGATGAACAAAGACACGATGATAAAAGGACAGCATAAAAAAATCTAAAATTGAGATACAATTATAAAATCAGTATTCAAAAGCAAGATAATGTAATATAGTAATATGTAGTATAATAATATATAATATAATATAATACCGTATTATATAAAATAGTAATATATAATATAATAATACATAATATAGAAATATTTAATATAATAACATAATATAATAATATCTAATCAAATCAAATCAACTTTATTTATAAAGCGTTCACATGCCAAAACGGACAAACAAAGCGCTGTACACCAATAACAAGCACAACAATAAAACAGACATATAACCATTTAAAATACAATAAGAAATCCCGAGTACAAGTTCGCAGTCCATATCAGTCCTTTTTCCAGAATCAGATCCAGACACATTCAAAGTGATGCTGCCCATGGAATCCTAACTTCAATGTCCAAACGCCAGCGAGAGCAGATGTGTTTTTAGTCGGCTTTTAAAGGTCTCCAGTGGTTTGGCCTGCTTTACGTCGGCTGGCAGCTCATTCCAAAGACTTGGTCCGAGCACTGAAAAGGCACGACTCCCACGAGACTTCAGGCTGTACCTGGGCACAGTTAATAGTCTCTGGTCAGCTGACCTAAGGGAACGCACCGGGACATGTCGGTGGATGATGTCAGAAAGGTATAAAGGTGCCCCTGAGTTTAACGCCTTAAACACAAACAGGATTACCTTAAACCTGATGCGATAGGAGACAGGGAGCCAATGCAAGGCACGTAGGACTGGTGTACTATGTTCAGACCTCCTGGTAGATGTTAACAACCGAGCAGCCGAGTTCTGAACCTCCTGGAGGCGTGCTAGTGGAGCTTGTCTAAGTCCCGCATTTAGCGAGTTGCAATAATCCAGCCTACAGGTAACGAAGGCATGGATCACAGTTTCCAAATGACTGCGTGACAGAAATGGCTTAATTTTCGCTATACGGAATATATATAATAATATATAATGTAGTAATATATAATATATCCATCCATCCATTTTCATCCGCTTATCCAGAGTCGGGTCGCGGGGGCAGTAGCCTAAGGTGAGAGGCCCAGACTTCCCTCTCCCCAGCCACTTGGGCCAGCTCCTCAGGGGGAATCCCAAGGTGTTCCCTGGCCAGGTGAGAGACATAGTCCCTCCACCGTGTCCTGGGTCTACCTATAGGTCTCCTCCTGATTGGACGTGCCCAGAAAACCTCACCACCAGACCAAGCTTCTCACCTTATCTCTGAGGGAGAGCCCAGCCACTCTTCAGAGAAAACTCATTTCGGCCGTTTGTATCCGCGATCTCGTTCTTTCGGTCACTACCCAAAGCTCGTGACCATAGGTGAGGGTAGGAACATAGATCGGCCGGTAAATCGAGAGCTTCGCCTTCTGACTCAGCTCTCTCTTCACCACGACAGACCGGTACAACGCCCGCATCACTGCAGATGCAGCACCAATCCGCCTTTCAATCTCACGCTCCAGTTTTCCCTCACTTGTGAACAAGACCCCAAGATACTTAAACTCCTCCACTTGGGGCAGGACCTCATCCCTGACCCGGAGAAGGCATTCTACCCTTTTCCGAATCAAGACCATGGTCTCTGATTTAGAGGAGCTGATTCTCATCACAGCTGCTTCACACTCGGCTGTGAACAAATTCCCACACACCCTCCAGGATCCCCCTAAGGGTATAGAGCTGGTCCAGTGTTCCACGGCCAGGACGAAAACTACATTGCTCCTTCTGAATCTGAGGTTCAACAATCCGACGGACCCTGCTCTCCAGAACCCCTGGATAGACCTTACCAGGAAGGCTCAGGAGTGTGATCCCCCTGTAGTTGGAAAACACCCTGTGGTCCCCCTTTTTAAAAAAGGGGACCACCACCCCGGTCTGCTAGTCCAGTGGGACTGCCCCTGATGTCCACGTGATATTGCAGAGCCGCGTCAGCCAACACAGCCCCACAACATCCAGAGCCTTAAGGAACTCCGGGCGGATCTCATCCACCCCTGGAGCCTTGCCACAGAGGAGCTTTTTAACCACCTCAGTGACCTCAGCACCAAAGATTTGGGAGGCCAACTCAAAGTCCCCAGACTCTGCTTCCTCACAGCAAGACATGTCGGTGGGTTTGAGGAGGTCTTAAAGTATTCTGCCCAACGATCCACAACGCCCTGAGTAGAGGAAAGCAGCACACCGTCCCCACTATAGATAGTACTGGTAGCACACTGCTTTCCCCCCTGAGGCGCCGGATGGTGGACCAGAATCTTCTCGAAGCCATACGGAAGTCTTGCTCCATGGTCTCACCGAACTCCTCCCATGCCTAGGTTTTTGCCTTGGCGACCACCTGAGCCGCGTTCCGCTTGGACTGCCGGTACCCGTCAGCTGCCTCTGGAGTCCCACAGGCCAAAAAGACCCGATAGAAGTCTTTTTTCAGCTTGAAAGCATCCCTAACCCCCGGTGTCCACCAGCAGGTTCGGGGGTTGCCACCACGACAGGCACAGACGATCATGTGACCACAGCTCCGGTCGGCCGCCTCAACAATGGAGGCACAGAACAGGGTCCATTCAGAGTCAATGTCCCCCGCCTCCCCCGGAACATTTTGGAAGTTCTGTCGGAGGTGGGAATTGAAGCTCCTTCTGACAGGAGACTCTGCCAGACGTTCCCAGCAGACCCTCGGGCCTGTCTTGTCAGACCGGCATCCTCCCCCACCATCTGAGCCAACTCACCACCAGGTAGTGATCAGTTGACAGCTCCGCCCCTCTCTTCACCCGAGTGTCCAAGACATGCGGCCGCAGGTCAGACAAAACAACAACAGTCGATCATCGAGCTGCGGCCTAAGGTATCCTGGTGACAAGAGCACATATGGACACCTTTATGTCTGAACATGGTGTTCATTATGGACAATCCATGACTGGCAACAGAAGTCCAATAACAAAACAGTGCTCAAATTCAGATCAGGGGGGCAGTTCCTCCCAACCACACCTCTCCACTTCTCACTGTTGTTGCCCACGTGAGCGTTAAAGTCCCCCAGCAGAACGAGGGAGTCACCCGAAGGAGCGCTCTCCAGCACCCCCTCCAAGGTCTCCAAAAAGGGTGGGTAGTCTGAACTGTAGTTTGGTGCATAAGCACAGACCACAGTCAGAACCCGTCCCCCCACTCGTAGGCGGAGAGAGGCTACCCTCTCATTCACTGGGGTAAACCCCAACGTACAGGCACCAAGATAGGGGGCAACTAGTATGCCCACCCCTGCTCGGCGCCTCTCAGTGGGAGCAACTCCAGAGTGGTAGAAAGTCCAACCCCTCTCAAGGAAACTGGTTCCAGAGCCAGAGCCATGCGTTGAGGTGAGTCCAACTATATCTAGTCGGAACCTCTCAAACTCACACACCAACTCAGGCTCCTTCCCCACCAGAGAGGTGACATTCCATGTGCCAAGAGCCAGCTTCTTTAGCCGAGGATCAGACCGCCAAGGTCCCCGCCCTCGACTACCACCCATCAGACACTGCACCCGACCCCTTTGGCCCCTCTCACGAGTGGTGAGCCCATGGGAAGGGGGAACCACCTTTCCTCTTCGGTCTGGGCTCCATGGGTGAAAGCCCGGCCACCAGGCGCTCGCCAACGTGCGAAGTATTCTGTCCACCGATTTTGTATAATATAGTAATATATAATATAATAATATAATAATATAAAATATAGTAATATATAACATAATAACATAATATAATAATATATAATAAAATGGAGAAAATGTAGGGCAACGTTAGAATCACAAACCTAAGAAATGTATAAACCAAGCCCCCACAATGCGGCTTAAAAATTGAGGCCAACCCGGAAGTACCAAAAATTGCAGTTCCACCCTCATCCACTAGGGGCTGGTGTCAGAAGCGAGCAAATCCTCATTGACTCCCATGTTAAAAATACCAATTTCACAGCAGAAATAAACATGTTTACAGCCTGGTACCAGAACATGTTTTTGGTTTAAATGATCTAGTTTACACTCATGACAACTCTGAGGGGGGTGAATTTTTTTCTTTCTCTTCTGTTTAAGTGTATTAAAAGCCTAGAATTCTGTATAATTAATGAGCATCAGACCCACGTGACCACAGAGCTAGCTCCGTGGAAAGGCCTCAGTAGAGCCTCGGTCTGGCCTGGAAACTGCTCCGGGATTTTGAGTCTCTGTGTTTGTGTATTCTTTGTTGGATATTTTTTGTGCAATTGTTGGACAAAATGACTTGCTGTGGAATTAATTGCACTAATAGCGTCCAAGGAGTCTCCACTCCATTATTTTCGGTAAGTAAAATTATATTTATGTATTTTAGGTCACTGCCGAGCTGAGCTTAGATTTTAACATGTACTGTTTAACTATGAAATTTAAATGTAATAGGGTAAAACCCAGTGCATTTAACATAATGCTGCACTTTAGAAAATGGGTTGAAATATAACATGTTGGTGGAGCTGGGTTCTGACTATCGGCTTGTGGAGCTCTCGGGAGACCTCTGTGTTCCACCCGGTTTTACCCAGCGGTCAGCCCGGCGTATCTCTGACTCAGAAGCTCTGGTGTTGTGCACAGTTAACTCCGGTTGTAGCTAGGTTGCTACCTCTGTTAGCTTAGCTCCCACCTCCGCGTTAGCTTTGGGTTAGCTTCAGGTTAGCTTGTAGCTAGTTTGACCGGGTGTCGTCAGTTGATCCCAGCCTTACAGCCCCACCCTCAGCTCCACCTCTCTTCCCTTTTGTGGAATTGTCTGGGCTTGACGGAACCTGTGACACGGTCAAAATGGCGGTGGTGGCCACCTCCCATTTTAGCACAAAAACGTGTTATTGGAGCCCGTGGAAACCCATTGTCCAATATTTATATGTCGATGGTATAAACCTGTATGTTTTACATCAGAACATGATTATATAATGAATATAGAAGGAATGATTTTACTTGGAGAATCACAACAAAAACAAAACGCGCTGTAATTATAAAAGCAACTGTGCTTTAACATACAAATAATGTACAACTTTATCGATTGAGCCAGCAGGACCTTAAGATGAGGCAACTCTGCAGGCTCAAATGTGATTGGCTCCAGGACCAGGAAGAATGATGGGGCGTTGTTTGTTAATAGAAAGCGAGGCCATTTTTAAAAACCTGGCCTTCCCCCAGTAAGCTGAAAAAGAGATCTTGTCATTGTAACCTCCCCTGCAATGTGATTGGTGATTATTGTACTGCCCAAGTCTTACATAGTTCACCTTTAAATACAAAATGCACTGAAGTGTACCGGCAATTGTTTAAAGTTGGACCTTTATTCAGTGAATAAAAGTTTAAAAAATTGGGATCAACCCCAGAAACCACGAACACCAAACCTCTGGGCGGCAGCAGACTTTACAAACTTTCTCAGAAAAACACTGATGAAATAACACCTGGCTTACCTGCTCCAGGTGTCTGGTGAATCCATATTATCTTGCCAGAGCTGAGCTGTCCATGATCCGCCAGATGAGACATTGTTATGGTCTCACAGAAGGACCGTCTGAGAAAATAAAAGTGATATCTGACTGAAGTGCTGCCCTAACAGCAGAAGTCACGTCAAACGACCAGTCTCATCATGTTTGATGTGAACCTAACGTTAGCTGAAGCGCTAGCTAGTGTTTACGGTTCAGCACGCTGATCACTGGTTAGGTGACAGATTTCCCAGCATGCATCGCTCCTTTCAGAAATGTTGAAAATTAAACTAAATAAATGAATTACGGTTTAATTTAATTCACAGTTAAAGTATTATGAATGAAATGCAATAATGATGTATTAAAGAGAAACTGGCTGCAGTTTTTAAGCTGGCAGTGAGCCAGAAACACCAAGACTGAAACAGGAAGTGACAGAGATCGGGTTAAAAATTTACTTTCATCATCCGAGTCCAGCACTTCTGCTCTCTAGAGGTCCGGGATAAATGACCATAGTAGGAGTTTAATGTGGTCGGACCAAACATTTCAGCTAAAATGGTGTGGACATGTCCCCGGCCTGTGTGGACATGTCCCCGGCTCGCGTCCCCTGTGACCTGATTACACACAGACCAGGTTTTACTACGAGCAGGTTCTGATGACTGTCTGGCCCAGGCGCTCAGCTGGGGTCTAAGCTACGTTTTACGCTGCAGGTCTCGATGTTATCTGTGATTTTCTGATGAAATCCTTGTTCTGTGTGGTTGTTCACACGGGAACCGACAGTTTCCACACGTTCATTCTTGATAGTCCTATCCAAATACCTTCACCCTGTTAGCTTCTACTAGGAAACATGTAAATATAGATACCTGGAACACAAATCCAGCCTGCTTAATAAATGTTAAAACAGCTTGCCACATTCACGGTGTTCATGTGTGTGTGTGTTGCGCTCAGGTGACGGTGGATGGTCGGGTCATTAGCCTGAACCTGTGGGACACGGCTGGTCAGGAGGAGTACGACCGGCTGAGGACACTGTCCTATCCACAGACCAACGTCTTCATCATCTGCTTCTCCATTTCTAGCCCTGCCTCCTACGAGAACATCAAACACAAGTGGCACCCAGAGGTCAGAGGTCGCACACGTGCACACACAGCTGAGGTTTATTTACTAATCAGGCAGATTTTGTCCTCTGGTGTTAAATCATCTAAACTTGTGGTTCTCTGTGGCGTCCAAAACCAAAGCCAACATGTCTTTAATGAACATCTCAACCCAGATGAAGACAGAACAAGTGACTGGACTTTGGTTTTGTCCCCAGGTGACCCACCACTGTCCCAGCGTTCCCATTCTCCTAGTTGGCACCAAGAGCGACCTCCGGAATGACAATGAGATCCAGAGAAAGCTGAAGGAGCAGAACCAAGCTCCCATCACCCACCAGCAGGGCCTCAGCTTGCACCGGCAGATCCAGGCAGTCCGCTACATGGAATGCTCTGCTCTGAACCAGGATGGCATCAAAGAGGTGTTCAGCGAGGCCGTGAGATCCTACCTCAACCCGCAATCCACCGTCACGAAGAAGCCCTGCGTCCTGCTCTAACAGCCAGAGAACCACGACTCGGTTCTGCTGTCCGAGGGACTGCTCAAATTATTCTATTTAAGATTTTAATTTGCTTTTTACATTGAATATTTCTATTAGAAAGCATGATGTGGAGGACTGAAGCATTGGTGTTCAGAACTTCTGATGTGTGTAGCTCCAACAGAACCGGGCTCTTCTATATGTCCCTCAAACATAAACTCAATATTAAATCCACACAAAAAGATCAGGTGGATTTTATTAAACCGTGAAGTTTCACTCGGGCAAATGTCGACTGGTTTGGGCCTAAATCTCAGCTGTTATTGATGTCGGCGTCATGTTTCAATGAAACCTACAAATACTCCAAACCACCGAGACCAGAGGTTCTCTTCCTGCCGATGAGTCCAGGTGCAGCAGACGTTAGAGAACCGCTCAGTACCAAACACTTGTTTACATGAAAGTCAATGAGAGGAAGGATCCTGCTGCTCCAAATAGGGAGACTGAAGCTCCGCCTCCTCCGTTCGTCTCATGGGAACGTGGCTAAAAGCCATTTCTTAATCCGCTTTGCCTTGTGCCCTGAATCACACACAAGTTGTACTTTATTTGTAAGCATATGAAAATGAATTAACGCTAATCAAATTAGACATTTCATATATGGCGTCACGGCATCCCCAGTGCAGCTGCTACTGACCCCATGCCCAGATTTATGGTGGTTTAGTGGCTTAGGCTCCCAATAACCATTACATTTAATCTGCTCTTTCATTGGCTCACAACGTCAAATCAGAAGAAACTTTTACTGAGATTTATTTAAAATGTTTTAAAAAATCGTGTCATAACACGTTGCGCAGGTTTTACAGAATCACTAAACTGAAACAGAAAACTTGAGTTGAGTAGCAAAGACGTTGTTGAAGCTGGAAGCTAAACTGAATTTAAAAATGTTAAAGTAAAAGAAATACTCACCGTCTTGCTACAGCGCAAATGATGCTTGATGTGCTGGATCTTTAAAAATGACAACATATTAAAACCCGTTTTACACAGGAATAATCTTGTGGTTGGTTTCAGCCTCTCTCTGAGCTAACCGCTAACATTAGCCCACTAACACATAGCTAGCTAATCTTTCTGCTCAGCAAAGTTAGCTACAGCTTGTTAATAACCAGTACAATGAATCACGTGCCCTTTCAGAACGGCATCGACCCACTTTGGTCTTGGCTGCTCTTGGCTAGCCGTTAGCTCATTAGTCCTGAAGGACATAAACACTATTTCTGTGAACAGAGGCTGTTCAGAGCCCTTTTTTACAAAACAATGCTGTCAATTTGCTGTAATGCTGCGGTGGTATCAGGGAGCCTTAGGTCGTTTAAAGTGGTCAGATCGTGGCGGTAATGTTCCGCAATCGTGTCCTTTTAATAAAAGATTACGTGATGGCGGCATAAGGGGGTACGGGGCGGTCTCTGCACTGCCACGGACTTCCGTTTATCTTGGAAATAACTTGCTTTATATTGCAACTGAAACTGCGCTCATTACGTTTTTTAACAAGCCGCTCATTAAGGAGTATGCCCCCACAGTCCCTGTGCAGTGGCGCGCACAAGGGGTGGCCATGGGTGGCCTTGGCCACTACTAGAAAACTGCTGGCCACCCCACTGCCCACACCCAGGAAAGACCGGTGCTCTTTAACAAGTCATTAATGTTGTTTTACTGCATCACTACAGGCTAAACTTTCCTAGATGCACCACGAGGATCAATTTGGTGTGCTACCCCAAAATTTGCTCTGGCCCCATGGCCACCCCTATGAAACTTTTCTGGGGTGCCACAGTCCCTGTGCACTGTAGCGCTCCAGTTTGCCATCTCAGAGGGTTTTGTTCAAAAAGCTTAAGTTACGGCCCGTGTTTGCTTTCATTTTCTATTTAGTTGCTGACCGGAGCTCGGCAGCAACTCCCCGCATAATCATGACACCTCCCTCTGTTGAACCAAGGTGCAATCGCCGTTTAGAAGACAAGACGATCATCACAAAATCTCTACCAAGCGAGGCAGAGTGAACGCTGCAAAACTCATGCAACGCCATGCCATCGTGGAGCGTTTATAAAACACAGCGTTGTGGTAACATTGTGACATTTGCCGGCACGGTGTGTCTTGTCAAAAGGGCTCTTTACTCCTCGAGGTTGGTCTGATTAGGATCCATCTTTGTGTCGTTACTAACCCAAACACAAATAAATCTTAGTTTATAATAACTAATCCTGCTCTTGGGAGCAGGAGCCAACTTTGCATCCAGTACATTTATTTGAATGTTGAAATCCAGTAGAAATGACATGGTGGGCGGAGCCTGGGCAGGAGACAGATGTCCATCCATCCATCCATTTTCTGAACCCGCTTTGTCCACAAAGGGTCGCGGGGGTGGGCTGGTGCCTATCTCCAGCGGCCAACGGGCAATCAGGCGGGGTACACCCTGGACAGAGAGCCAGTCCATCGCAGGGCGACAAATGTCCTCATTTAAATGTTTGTTGATGAGAACTCGGATCAGAAAGTGTTTACGACTCACCTGAGTAAATAAACAATCATGCTCATCATACTAGTCGCTGGTTTTACGTCTGTTTAATACAGCACAGGTAACATCAGAACCTACGGAAGCCTGTTAGTGCCAAAAGGCTGTGATAAACTCATAATGATTTTATGCTTGTGTATTTAATGTAATTATACTTTATGAGACAGCATGGCAGCTCTGCTGCCTCACAGTGAGAAGGTTGCAGGTTTAAATCCTCGTGTCCTTTCTGTGGGTCAGCACGTTCACCCCACGCATGGGCGGGTTTCATCCCACAGACCTAAAACACGTCAGGGTAATGGGAGACTGTAAATTGTCCCTACAGGTGAGACGGAGACCTCTCCAGGTGTCCTCCTCTAGTGGCAGTAATGTTAATCTATAAAAAAACAGCTGATTTTCTGAACACGGTAACCAGGTCACCAGATGATTCACCAGATGATTCACCAGATGATTCACCAGATGATTCACCAGATGATTCACCAGATGACTCACCAGATGACTCACCAGATGATTCACCAGATGATTCACCAGATGATTCCAGCCCTTCGACGCCCTCGGCTCTTGTTCTGTTCATCTGAGCCCTTTAGCGTAAAACAGGATGTTTCTGGCTTGGTTCTAACAGAACTTCCTCCCTCCGAGTTCCCTGAACGGTGCTGGTGGAGCGCTGTGAGAAACCGTTTGTTGTTCAGCTGAAACGAGGAAGGGAAGTGAGTTGAATAAATGAGCAGCTTCCCCAAATGATGAAAAGACCCAACAGCAGCAGGAACCGAGTCAGAACCAACACGCTGATGTGGGTCAGACGCAGCGGGACCCAGGTGAAAATGTTGGAAGTAAAACGAGCTGCTGGAGATCCAACGAGCTTTGGGCTGGACCGGGTCGCTGCTACAGGACATGTGGACTCGACTGGAACCATCAGGACGTGTAACCTTGGCTTCACTATAATAAACCTTTTCTTACACAACTGGCTCCTCTGAGTGTTGTTGGGGTTCTCTTTCTAGACTTCAGCAGAGACCAGAACCCGTTCAGAATTTAGTCTGTCCAGGCTCAATGTCACATGACTTCCTGAAACGTTTGTGCTGACGTTACTCAACACGCTTCTCTTGTATTGTGGATCAGAACCATTCGTGGAGCTGTCTGGAGTCTCTGGACCACGTTCTGGTTGTTGGGTCGAGCTCAGTCTCAAACTGTAAAAATGAATCCATCCTTTCATTCTTAACGTCTGCGTGGACGATCCGGTCTCAGTACCGTTTGCCCTCTGGCAGCGTGGCCACCATCACCTCCGTACTCCCAAAGTCCCAGAAGGCCGTCATGTGGAAGGCCATGTTGGAGAAGACCACCAGGTACTCGAAGGCAGCAAACAGGGTGTAAACTAGAGAGAGAGCGAGAGTAAGACCAAAGAGAACGATCACAGAGACGGCAGCATCGCAGCAGGACTCACCTCCCGTCTCGCAGAACTTGTTGTGGCGCCTGAAGAAATATGCTGCAGCTGCGAAGCAGCCGACGTTGAACAGGAAGAGACGCAGCTTCCAGAGATACGACGTTACCTCCTAGGAGACAAACACACACACCGTGTTTCTCACAGCCAGGGAACCTCGCCTTGATGTCTTGGCCCCGCCCCGGTTGCCTAGGAGATGCGTCATCAGGAGCCACCAAGACGCGTTCCAATGTTCATGTTCTACCGAGGCGTGTGTTCTCCGTTTGTTAGCCGTTTAGCTAGCTGAGAGGATACACGGGAGGTGTCTCGCAGCCTAGCCTGGGTCTTAAACTTCCCAGAATGCACCGCGGCATTTTCAAAAGGATGGCGGATGAGAAGTTGAGGGGTTTGATTCCAGAAGGTCATCCCTGAGCGCCGTACTGACGACCTCTCATTACTCCTCTGGGACAGGGCAGATGTAGGAGTAATTTAATGTTTACTATTATTAATAAGAGCTTTCGAGACTCTAATGATCTCACGGCCGTTCCACCCGAGTGTAGCCGGTACCATCTAACTGAGCTTTAACTCAAGGCTGATTATGGTATAGACCTAGAGGAACAGACGTGCTGCACACAGCTGGGTAAAATAGTGCAGGTTTGTTCTGTTTCATTTACGTTGCACCGATAAGGCACACACGTGTCGCCGTATTACGCTGCAACAGAAACGGGGATCTGTGCTGCAAAACAGCTACTAACACAGACTTGAACATGTTTGCCGAATGATTTGTTCAATAATCTAATTTTTATTTGACTTCCACAAAAAGAAAATTCTAAATGAGACATTACAGAAAACAAGGACGGCGTGCCATCGAACGTAAATCCACTCCTCATTAATTAGGCGTCACTTTTAAACTCTGCTGTCCAAACGACGGCGTTACGGCTCACCGGCTAAAACTACGCTTTGGGCCCAGGAGACCGTTTGGATCAGAGGGTTCAGTTCATCAGGACCCATAAGTCTAGGTCCTGGTTCTGAGGAACGTTTACCTCCTGGCTGACGTAGTTCCTCCGGATGACGTACCACAGTCTGCATGTGATGAGCATGTGCAGCAGCGAGCTTGCTATGAAGGTGATGAAGCCGTTTTTATGAACTTCTGCAGAAAGAACCACATGGTTCCGTGTCAAAAGTCAGAGGCGGTTCTGAAGGATCAGACCTCGTCATACTCACTGTAGGTTTCTGTGGACGCCACGTAGGAGAGCAGAACCAGGCCGGTGTTCTCTGCAAGGCTGCAGACGAGCGCCAGCCCGCTCAGCAGAAGTTCTGGCAGCTGGGCGGCGAAACGTTGGCGGTAGAAGTTAAAGTAGACCACAGCCACCAGGTACCGCGGCGCCGAGTGCAGCCCGATGCAGCTGCGCCAGATGTAGCGCTCCGGCTCGCGGCTGATAGCAGAACTGATGGACGGGAGGTAGTTGGACACCTGATGCACAAAACACACAAACTCATCTGATGGATCCAGAACAGGAAACACCACCAAGAACTTTGTGGACTTCGTCAGCTAGGAATTATGGGTAAAGAGATCTAAATATTGGTGTTTTTTCAGGTGGTCGGAATAAAAAACATCCAGATTAAGAGATAAAAATTACAGACGTCTACCAATATCTGCAAACGTCCCCAGGTGTCTACAAACATCTACAGATGCCTACAGACTTTATGATTCTTAGTGAGAAATCTCCTGATGTGTTTTGGGGGGGGGGGTCAGACATGGAGTAACTTCTCCAGCTTCACAAGCCTGCACTGAAGTTTCACTTTGGTCTTTTTAACCCCAACAGCCCCAGCCGTCCATGTGTGCACCAGAGCAGAGCAACCAGGAAAACATGGAATGGATTTCTATGAGAACGGGACCAAATGCGTCATTTTAAAACGTGGGAGAGGGGGACACGCCCCCTTCTGACAAAACGGTTCCGACGCCTACGCCGTTGTCTTCCAGAAGTATTATTCACCGGAAATGTCCGATGTTTAGTTAATTCACGGGAAACCGTCCGATCTCAGAGACCAGAGACACGCTTCGCTCCATTTTTATGTGTTGTAATATTACCTAGTACCACTAGATGGCGCCACATCTACTGTGTTCGAGTCAGGTGTGGACACAGCAGAGAACCCTTAGAAGAGCTTCGTGAGGCTTCAGTGGCACACCACTGGCTGGTACATAAAACTATCAAGTTTACGAAACCCAAACTACCGCAGGGAGACGAGAGGACACCACTCTGTCCTCTCGTCTCCCTGAGACCAACTAGTGGCCGGCTCTTGTAGCAGTGGCGGTGCTGACCGGGACAGCTGGGGGAGTCAAAGGGGAGGCGCTGCTTCTCCTCTCCTCTCACTCACATAGAGGGGGAAACGAGAGAAGAATTAAAATACAACAGAACCCACAAACGGCCCAGGGCTGTAATTGAGACCTGGTCGGGTCCAGAAGAACCTTCTTGTTACCTGACAGTGGGTGTAAGTTGAGTCTTCGAAGTGGTAGTAGAGGGAGGTGAAGATGCAGGCCAGGAGGCCGGTCAGCGGGAGCAGAACTGTTACCACGGCAAACCTGGTGAAGGGGAGCCGGATCAGGGGCCGGTCCCGGTCCAGGTTGGAGTACAGGCCCTGGAGCATCCTGAAATCTGGACCCACCAGGATCCAATCAGAACACGCTGAAAGGGTACAGAGACAGTTAAACTCAGAACCACCTGCTGACTTCATCCTGGTGGTTCTGCTCGGATCCAGAAGCTGCTGTCAGAACCATTCAACAGAGCCACCAGCTCGCCACTCACTCTGTCTGACTCCATTAAACATGAAACTGGTGGAACAAAAGGTCGGTACTGATAACTTCCTGTCTAGTACCAGTTCTGGTTCTGAGTGGTTCGGCTTTTCTCAACAGATCTGGATCAAAGACAGACGTGTTTATGTTCTGCAGCACGACAGAGAGGCCGCTCAAATGGACCCCCAGCCGAACCAGAACCGGATCCTTGAGTTGTAGTTTGAAGTAGGGAAGGCCTTTTTAGCGATATTTGATATACAGACTAGGTTTAAATCATTTTTAACTAAATGCTGCAGTGTTTCCCCTAGGAATTTCCAGCGGTGGTGGTGTGTGTGTGTGTGTGTGGGGGGGGGGGGGGGGGATTATGACACGTCTCACCTTTATGTTAATATTGTTTTATTTGATGCATTCCACATTGAACTGCACCAATCCAGCAACTGCTGCATGTTAATAACTAGTATTAAAGGTGAAAACACCAATATTTGCACAAGAATAATTTTTGTTTTAAACTCTCAGTGACACACTTTGCAGGGTGGATTTGGCATTTAATTGTTCTTGGCGTCTGGAAAAGCATCTCCTTCTGCCCCCTTTATTTTGGCCCTAGATCATTTCCGGGCTGGCCCTGTTAAACACCTTCTACACCCCTGCTTAGTAGAATTAATGAAGTATTTATAAGCCAGTATAAAAACGACTGAAACACAAATTTACATATTTGGCATTACTGACCAATATCTTTGATTTAATTTATGTGTTAAGAACATCAAGAAGCATTACAGTGAACATTATAATAAAGTACATGTTTCTAGTGCAGAGAGGAGACGACCCATAGAAGCACTGATTTGATCTCATTTCAGAGAAAAATAGAACAGATCAGATGCACCTAATAAATAAAATTACTAATATAGACTCAGGAATCTGTTTCTTTGCTTCATTGTTCTGGTGCTGAAAATATCACTAATGCAGATCAAAGGAGATCCACAGATGAATGCACCTCTTATTTATTATCTGGAAATGAGTGGGCGTGGTTTACATCAGTACATTATTTCAAATCTGAAATTGATATGGATCGATCAGAAGTTGCTATGTGTGTTTATCTGAAAACTATTTACAGAGCAGCCTCAGAACTGAGATTAAATATTTTTGACCACAATAGCAAAACTATTACAGAACCAGTGTTTCAATAAAATCAGAACATTAATGTTTAAGTGCATGAATTAATACATCTGAACTCATGCAGTAGGAACTAGGAAATAAATACTAGAACCATTTTATTTTTATTTGATTAAACTGATTTTTTCCTAACATTGTTGGCATTTTCCCCACACACAGTTAAACAAAACACTGTTGATTAAGGTGTGTGTGTGTGTGTGTGTGTGTGTGTGTGTGTGTGTGTGTGTGTGTGTGTTAGGGCCAGACGGACTGAGCTCCCGGCTGCAGTTTTGTGTGTAGGGAGGGGCGGGCGCTCTATGTGACTGGCCAATCACAAAGCGTGAAGACAGTCAGTTACCCAATGAGGATTTTCCTTCAGCACGATTACAGATATTTTCGAGTTTTACACGTTTCATGCTCGTATTCGTCAAAAATGCTTTATCCGTACCGGATACTCGTCTGAAACAAGTATCCGGCTCATCACTAGCTGTAACCACCCTGCCCTGCCTCCTCCTCCTTGCTGCCTGCCGGCTGTGATCACAAGCAACAACAGAGTAGTTCCCGCTGCTTCTTGAGGAACTGCACAAATAAATAATTAAATAATTCAATAAAACTTGGGATCTTGTAGGCGTGGCGCTGGACTATGTAAGGGAAACACTGTGCTGGGTTTCACTCACATAACGTCTGCAGCCACGTGAAACAGGAAGTGTTCTGCTCCACAACAAAGTACAGAGATCCAACATGGCGATGGATGAAAGCTATTAAGGCTTTAAATGAGCAGACACAGATGCAGAAAATACATCTTCTTTAAATGATAAACGACCAGGGATCTCATTTATAAAACATGCGTAGAATCCGTACTAAAACCGTACTGAAGCTCAGCAAAAAAACGTGCTCACGCAGGTAGGTTTATGACCTGTAAAACCCGTACATAGTAACATATAAAGCCACCATTACATTTTTACTTGCAGAAATTAAATGCTACAATTTCCATGTTACTGAAATAATGAAATTCTGCTGATCATGTGACTTTATTTAGATGTTTAGATAAGTATGAGTGCTACTAAACCTAATTTTAGTGAAAAATAAGTCAAATTTTGCTCCATAAATATCAGCTGGGAAAGAGGAAACTAGACAACACCAATTTAATACATATTGTTGATCCTTTTATCATTTTGTTGTTTTATTTTCAGAACTTTAGCAGCAGATCACAATCTCGTTCCCCCTGAAACGTCGTCAAACAGAATATTCGACTAATAGACGCCGGACGAGTCGATAGAATATTCAAATACTAAAATACATGATAGCTGCAGCCCTAATACCAATATTGTCTGACTAATATCCATAAAGAAGGAAAATGAAAACATTTTAGGTCACAAACATCACATTTCTCCTTTCATGCTTACATTTTTTAAATGTTCGGTACTTCGATTTGAGTTTAGAAACAGGAAAAGTGCCCTTTTGATTTAATCTCCACCAGCAGCTGAATCTCATTCTCCTCAAGCTAAGATGGGTGTAATAGTTAGTGATTTTTTTTCTGAATATTGCAGTAATGGTGACAAAACACTTGTTTTTCTGTTCTTAATATCTTTACAAGCCTTGGGTTGGTGTTTTAGTGGTTTGTTTGCTGCTGGCTACACGTAGCTGCGCATTGAGGACGGCGTACGTTCACTACACAGGGCAAATTTCTGCTTGACAAGTTGTGCCAAATACACTAAAATATCTGAAAAACTTTACCTCAGATCTGTCACATTTTGAGAAAGTGGCAGCAGCTGAAGAGTGTGATGTATAATATGTTTATGACATATGAAAGCTGGGTCAATAAATGACTGAAAACCAATAACAATGTTTACGATATTAAAATACTTACATTAACGGTAGACCGATTATATCGGGCATCCCTAATTTTAAACAAACAGCCATTTTGTTTGGAGCCAACTGTTGGTGAATTGATTCATTGTCATCATTAAACTTTTCCCATTTTCTGTGTCAAATCCATTCTAGTTCACCCTTCACTTTATGCCTGAATGAGTCAGGGGTCAAAGGTAGCCAACTAGAAAAATAACGAAGCCTGAGAGAAAATCACTTTAGCCAGATAACTGTCTGCTGATCCTGTGGGAACGTAAAAAGTGGGTTAAAGTTTAAGAGAAAAGCTAAAGATTAAAATAAAGATTCAGATAGTCTGAGCTGGGCTGAGCCCCAAGAGTTTTTAGATCCTAACCACGGCTCTGGTCTAAAGTACTGACACTTCCCTGCAGTCCTATTTAAGACATTTTTATCCTGTTTACCGGAACAGGTAACTACTCAAACGTGTCAGTCACCTGATAGGAGCAGTTTTGAAGTCCAACAACCTTACCTTCACGGGGATTTGGTCCGGTTCTAGCAGCCGGACCGGGTTGCTCCCATTGATCTTGTTAGCTGAGGTAACATCGTAGCTAACGCTAGCGCTGAACTTGAGCATAAACTTCTACTTTTTATCCGCTAAAATGTGCGTTTGGTCCCTTCAGCGTTTCTTCTAAAGCTGCTATGATCCGTCTAACGTTACACAAACATTTTGTTATCCTTCTGACTGAAAACTTTAGTAACTTGTGCCGAAGATTAAGCTAATTTTAACACCCTGTCAGCTAACCAACCCAGCTTCCGGTCGCGTCTCCTTCAGAATAAAAGCATCCAATATCTTTGAGTCATTTCTTCCCAGCAGTCAGATTTCTTCTAAACTTGGTCTGGACCATCGACATAAATACTGGACTAGCAGTCACCCGTTTTATATTATAGGATATTTTAGCATTAATCTAAAATTTCTCCAAGTTTTGTACTCAATAGTTTACATTTAAAGAGCAAGTCATCACCAAATCAGTTTTCTTTTGCTGATAAACTACATAAATGAGATGTTGTAGACAAGTTAAAGGTAAAGTCCCATCGGTCAATATCACTAGGGAACTCTCCTATTCCAATAACCCCGCCCCCTGAGAATTCTAACTGAGCCAATCAGCGCTGAGCAGCGTACGTCACACACTACAACGCTGAGTTTGTGGTGAACATGGTGACTGAAGCGGAGTTCACTGCGGCTCTTTCCTCTGTTCTAAGTGACTTGGACACGTCTATAAAACCACATGTAGAAGAGTTAAAAGCCTTTCTTCTAAAGAAAGATGTTTGCGCTGTCGCCAGACACCTTTTTTGACTACAGCTAAAAAACTACAGCTTCGTGGACATCACACACAGCGATGCTCAGTTTCTCATACACAACAAAGACAGCAGCGGAGTTCGCTGTGGCTCTTTCCTCTGTTCTAAATGACTGTAATGTCTTTAAAACCACAACAAGTAGAAGCGCTAAAAGCCTTTCTTCTTTAAAAAAATTATATTTGCACCGTTGCCAGACACCTTTTTTACTACAGCGTCGCGCGGTACAGTCGGCATTTCCATCTATTTTCCGATTGGTTATTTTTGAGCTGCCTAGTCCCGCCCCTCAAGTGCCTCTGCCTGTGAGTTACCAGCCTCTGTGTGCAGAACTAACCAGAGGATGAGTCTGGCAGGCCAGGCTACATTATCACACAGTGGTGAAATTACATCCCCACATTTGTCTCATTCCTGTAGGGAGAGGTGAGCTGCAGCAGTGGCTGCGCTCAGGAACTATTTGGTGGTTTGGCCCCCCCAATCCAACCCCTTAAAGCTGAGTATAAAGCAGGGAGGCGTTGGGTCCCATTTTTTACGTTTTGGGTACGACACAACCAGAAATTGAATCCTGATCTCCCAGTCTCGGGGCAGACACCCACACATATCACTAGGCCACTGAGAAGAACAAATATTGTGTTATTTTAGGTTTTGTGTGAAAAGATGTAGAGGACTACAAATGTTTGTCTCACTAAAGTGCAATCATCATAGAAGAGTACAAGATTAGTTTTGCAAACTTCGAATCCTTCTTCCAGAATAAAAGAAGCATAAAACCACTATAATTCTGGCCATGTACTATGTTTATGTTTATGTGCTTAGCAGACTCTTTTACCCAAAGCGACTTACAATTTTTTTAACCTATAGGGCATGTTGTGATCTGTGGGGGAAACCGGAGTACCCGGAGAAAACCCACGCATGCATGGGGAGAACACGCAACTCCACGCAGAAAGGCCGCAGCCGAGTTTCGAACCTGCGACCTTTGTGTTGCGAGGCAACAGTGCTAACCACTGTGCCACCATGCAGCCCAATTATTTAATTATTTAATTAATTTACTAATTAGCAGCTACGCTGGCGGAGAAGAGATTATGTGGTGATATGACACCTGATTTGTCATTTTAACTATCAATTTTTACTAGCTAATTAATCTCAAAGTACGTGACAGTCATAGTGCAAACACACTTAATTACTTATTTAAATGTAACTACAACAAATGTGTGATTCAAGGCGTGGTGTTCAATTTTGGGCCTGATTCAATCAGCAGGTAATCAAAAAACTTCTACAGATGAGCTGCCGCACAGGTGATTAAACCACTTAATCAAGTGTGTTGGAGCAGAGAAACCACTAAAGCGTGTTGGAGACCAGCCCTCCAGGCACAGAATTGAACACCACTGGTGTAAAGCAAAGCAGATTAGAAAATAGGTTTAAGCCTTTGCAAGAGGAATCAGGTAGATGGGAGCCTTACCATCCAGGACTCTGTACGCTATTGTTAGTGATTTCAATTTGATGCGTGCAGCTAACGGTAGCCAGTATGTGGCTATACTGGAAGGAGATCCAACATGTATTTTGGGCCCCATGCCACTGAGTGATTTATAGATTTCGAATTTGATTCTGTAGTTTACTGGTAACCAGTGTAGAGATGTAAGGACAGGGATAATGTGCTCGGTTCTTTTGGTTCTTGTTAAGACTCTAGCAGCAGCTTTCTGAACAAGCTGCGAACTTCCTCAGAAATGGAGTCGGAAGTGTCACTTCCTACGCAGACGCGAACGAAACTGTCAGCAGCAAGGTAAAAAAGAAACCTTTTCTGTGTTTTAAAAAGAACCAGCAATGCTGTTAGAAAAGCGACACAGTAAGAACATACCAACGTTGTTTTACAGCTGTTTTGGGAAGACCAGTTAGAAGACCATTGCAATAGTCCAGGCTGCTGGAGATAAAAGCATGGATTAGCTTCTCTAGGTCTTGTTTTGACATGGGACCTCTGAGTCTTGCTAATTGATGGAGATGATCAAACTCTGATCTAGTTATAGCTTTGATGAACCAGTGAAATTCAGGTCTGAATCAATGGTAACACCAAGATTTCTAACCTGAGTCTTTGTCTTCATTCCTTTGGAGCTACGTTGAGAAATAGCTCCCATCCTGTCTTTCTTATTTCCAAAGAAATAACTTCAGTCTTGTCTTTGTTTAACTGAACAAAACTTCAGGTGAGTCTTCAGCTGCTTCTCAAAGGAGACCACTGAGTCCACTGATCTCAGGCTCAGGGGGAGAGAGGTCCAGAGTCTGGGGGCCGCAGCAGCAGATGATCGGTCACCTTTGGTCTTAAGCCTGGTGCTGCACAACCAGTAGGCTTTGGTCACTGGACCTCAGCGAAAAGGTTGTAGCAGATCAGCTGATTACTTTTCTGGAACTACACAACAGTTTTGATAAATTCCAGTCTGGTTTTGGTAAAAAGCGTTCAACAGAAACAGCTTTGCTTAAAGTTTCCAGTGACATCATGATGGCTGCAGACAACGGGGAGTTCACAGTGTTAGTATCGTTAGGTCTTTCTGCAGCTTTTGGCTCTGTTGATCACAGCACCTTCATTAGCAGACTTGGTGACTCGGTGGGGGTCTCTGGAACTGTTCTAGACTGGTTTAGATCGTACCTTTCTAACAGAAGTTACAGTGTCAGTGGAAACCAAACTGTCTGAATTACTAGACTGTCTATCAGCGATCACCAGCTTGCTAGAAGATAACTTCCTTCAGTTAAACTTTGAGAAGACTGAATGTCTGATCATTGCCCCTGAGAGCATGGTTACCCTGATTAGTCTAAAACGTGGTCGTTTATCCTCTGCCGTCAAGGCTAACATAAGGAATTTAGGTGTTATTTTGACCAATCAATGTTTCTTGAAGGCCACTCAAAAACGTTGGTCCCAAACTTAAGAAATATCTCCAAACTGTGAAGGTTGATATCAAAACATGAACTTGAAATGGTTCTCCATGCCTTTATCTCCTCCCGTCTAGATTACTGTAACACACTCTTCACATGTTTAAACAAAAAAGCCCTTGACCGCCTTCAGTTGGTCCAGAACTCTGCAGCGAGGCTGCTAACTGGAGCAAACAGAAGAGCACACATCACTCCTATTCTGACGTCTCTGCACTGGTTACCCGTTAACTTTAGAGTTCATTTTAGAGTCCTGACTAGAACCTTCAGGGCTCTACGTAGTCAAGCTCCTCCCTATATTACTGAACTGTTAAAGCCTTATGCTCCAACCCGAGCCCTCAGGTCCACCCACCAGAACTTTCTAGAAGTTCCAAAGACCAGATACAAAAGTCGAGGTGATCGCTCCTTCCAGACTGTTGCACCCCGACTCTGGAATGATCTTCCTTTATCCTTACGCAGCATCGACAGTCTGGACACTTTTAAACAACAGCTTATTTAAAGCTGCTTTAACCTAAACCTTTTATTTTCTTATTTTTAACTCAAATGTGTATCGTCTTTCATTTGTTTTATGGTATTTTATCATTTTATGACTTTTCTGTTCGGATTAGAATTTATTTCTGTTTTAAGATCATTATGATTTTATAACTTTATGCTTTAATTTGATCTAAGTGAAGCACTGTGATTCTCTGTTTGTGCTGAGTGCTATAGAAATAATGTTTACTTACTTATAACACACACACACACACACTGATAAGGCCGCCCACTCGCTCTCCTCCCTTCACCAGAGTCATTGCAGGTCACGTTGGTTCATGACAAATAGAAACTGAAGTCTTTCTGATGTGGAGCTCCTGCTGCTTCACCTGAAGGACGCGTCCAGGTAAATCCTTGTTCTGCACGCGCGTTAACTCTCTATGCAGTTATTATTAGACCGGAGGGGTGGCGCTCTGGGAGAGGTTTGTTTTTGGTCCTAAGCAGGGCCAGATTAACACTTTGTTGTACCCTGGGCAACAATATTCAAGGGCCCCATCATCACGACCCGAGGATCACCATAATATGGTCACATACAAAATATTTTACTGTAATATGCAGTAAATATACTCAATACTTGAATGCCTGACTTCACGTAACCCGCTCAGGGTAACCTTTGACCCACCTTGTGTAGACTGACCAATGAGAAGAGGGTCTTAACTTGAAGCCCTCTCTTCAATGGTCAGTCTGCACAAGACTGACTCTCAACTGACGTTCAGTCGTAGGCAGTGAAGCGTCTCTGTGCAGCGCAAAAGCCCGGGTGGACAGTTAGTTTAATACAGGGTGATCATATTTCCATTTCCAAACAAGAGGACAGGGGATCTGTGCCTATGACATCACACTATGGCAACGCCACACAATCCATGTTGGGACCCATTTTTTGTAAGAACTAAATTAATATCAGATTCTGCCAATAAAAGGGCTCTAAAACAATTCATGTGTAAATATTTAGCATATTTAATACAAAATCTCATTTTTCTGCTTTAGTGCTGCAACAAGGTTTTATTAATAATAAATTATAATACCTTTTGTTTTACTACAGCATCGGT